TACTCCTTTTGGCATCTCGTTTTCCTTACTTTTACATATTACACATTAGTAAATAAAAACAACAACCGTCAATAAATACTTTTATTATCTGGCACTGTGCACATCTCCTCCTTCATGGAAGATACTATTACGGACATCCAGCACATTGATAGTTTTTCTGCAGTTAATCTTAATTAAAGCCAATGAATCTAATGCACTTAATTGAATAAGGGCCTAGGTTTCAGTTCATTGTTTCTGGAAGCTAAAGCCACTGAAGTGCAAGTGTTCAGGACAGTGGGCGGGGGGATGGAAGAAAGAAGAATAGAAGAGATAACCAGTTCTTTCCACTTAAAACACTGACGGTATTGTGAAACTAGATGTTAGAAATATTCCAGCAGGATGGCAGTATCTGTAGAGAAAGAAACAAAGCTAATATCTCGTGTCTGACTTTTCATCAGAACTGGGAGAAGCGAAAGGGGAAACATCACAGGAATGATGGAAGGAAAGTCTGTGATAGGATGAACGGCAGGTGAAATTAAATGACAAATCATTTCAGAATGCAAGGCCAAAAGGTATGGTAAAGAGATGAGAAACAAGACATCTATCAGCAGGAGATAGGAATATGGACAGAGGTTACAATCTAAAAGTGCTAAGCTCAAATGTTGACCCTAGTAGTGGAGGTCAGAAATCACACAACACCAGGTTATAGTCCAACAGGTTTATTTGAAAACACAAGCTTTCAGAGTTTCGATCCTTCTTCAGGTGTTAGTGGGAGAGATGGTATCAGACACAGAATTCATAAGTACAAGATCAAAGAGTCACACAACTGATGAGGATGTATTAAACAAACCCAAGATGCTCTTAAATCTTTAATCTGTTAAGTGGTTTTAATTGATTAATATGTATATGTAAATCCCCAAATTCCTTTTAAGGCACTGCCCTGAGAGAAATAAAGGTTTTATCAATGTAGCGAAGAGGTGACATTTTAGGTCAGACAATGCATGTTAGATGTGTGGCATTGTTTAGAATCTGTTTGTGTTTTGGTTTGGAGTCAGACTGGTTTTATTTCTAAAGTAGGAATTTATAAATCACAACATTGACTGACTCTCTATAATTTGTGGGCTTTGTGAACAAAACAATGTATCTGTAAATACAAATTCATCCCATAGATTTATGAGGGAGGGCAACAGCAGGGCAGCAAGAGCGCGCGTGTGTGACTGCTTGACGTCCAGGCAAAACATAATATGCGGTTATTTAGAGATAGTAGGAACTGCAGATACTGGAGAATCCGAGACAACAAGGTGCAGGGCTGGATGAACACAGCAGGCCAAGCAGCATCATAGGAGCAGAGAGGCTGACGTTTCAGGCCTAGACCCTTCATCAGAAAAGGGGAGGGGAAGGGGGTTTTGAAATAAATAGGGAGAGAGTGGGAGGCGGATAGAAGAGGGATAGAGGAGATTACAAGAGAGTTGCAGTGGGAGACAGCATCTGCAGTTCCTACTATCTCTGATTCAATTTTAACCCCACTGCGAAGCCTCTTCTAAGGATGCCTAACCTGAAGAAGTTACCCTCCTCCCTCTGGACAAACCTCAAGGGATCTCTCTCCCATTGCAACTCTCTCGTAATCTCCTCTATCCCTCTTCTATCTGCCTCCCACTCTCTCCCTCCCACTCTCTCCCTATTTATTTCAAAACCCCCTTCCCCTCCCCCTTTTCTGATGAAGGGTCTAGGCCCGAAACGTCAGCCTCTCTGCTCCTATGCTGCTGCTTGGCCTGCTGCGTTCATCCAGCCCTGCACCTTGTTGTATGCGGTTATTTAAGCTTGGATTCATTTTCAATGAAACACTGGAGCATCTGGAGTACAGAAAAATCAGAGGGGGAAGCAAAGTAGAGAATTAAAATTACAAGTGACTAGAAGCTTGGGGTTTGATTTGTGAAATGAACGTGTTCAGCAAAGCAAAGCTGTCATTTATTTGCATTTGGTTTCCCACTATAGAAGAGAAGATTATGAGCAGCAAGTCATGTCATGTGTTGTCTGCCTGTATATAGGTCCTTCTCTTATTGTCTGATGATGCTTCATTCTGAATTGCATATATGGGAGTTTTTGAAGATGATGGTTTGTAACAAATACATTAAACTGAACATGCAAGTAAAGTGCTGTTTGACCCAGGTGGTGTGTTCAGGGCCTTGGATAAAAAGGAAGGTGATAAAGGTTGCTTCATATACTGCACTTTCACAGAAACAGGTGGTGTCAACATGACTCAGGATTTGAGTGCTGCAGACAAAATGGTTCACTTGGAATGCTGAAAAGTATAAGAGACCACGTTTTTCTTTTTAGGACCATAAAATGAAACTGAAGTTTGACAGCTCAAGAGCTAGAATACCAGGAGGAGCTTTTTTTTTCCAATTTCATTCATGGAATGTGGGCATCACTGGCGGGACCAACATTTATTGCCCATCCCTAATTGCACAGAGGGCAATTAAGAGTCAACCATATTGCTGTGGATCTGGAGTCACATGTAGGCCAGACCAGGTAAGAATGGCAGATTTCCTTCCCCAAAGGACATTAATGAACCAGATGGTTTTTTCCCCCTAACAATCAACAATGGTTTCATGGTCATCATTAGACTCTTAATTCCAGATATTTATTGAATTCATATTCCATCTGCCATAGCAGGATTTGAACCCAGGTCCTCAGAACATTGCCTGGGTCTCTAGATTAATAGTCCAGTGACAATACCACTAGGCCATCGCCTACCCTGCTCTACAATTGGAGGAAGGAGGGGAGGGAGGGAGGACGGGGAGGAAGTGGGAGAGGGGGAGACGGGGAGGGGAGGAAGGAGGAGGGGTGGTTAGGGGCACGGGCACAGGTAACATCCACATTCTGTTTTCGCAGTGAAGAACATTGAAACAGAGTGCACAGACAGACTTGAGTTGACGAAATTCTGTTTGAAGACTGTAACAAACTGAAAAAGTTTGACTAAAGTTGGAAGTGCAAGGGTAGCCAAACATCTGAAGCAACCCTCGCCATCCATGGAGGAGAAAGCACAGTAAGACTAAGAAAGCGTAAGAGGAACTCAAGAACACCTAGGTCCACAGAAACAACAACCATCATTTTACTGATAATAGCAAATCAATGCGACAAATCAAGAGGAGAGAGAATAAAACCAAATCATAAAATCTTGAAGCTTTGGAATTTTGCACACCCTATCTATATTCTTTTCCACCCACATTGTATCAGACCACCTGTATTGTGACTGCATATATATTTGGGGGTTTTGAACTGGTATTGTTTAATTTGCACAGTAAGTTGGAAATCCTCTCTTTTCCCTGCCATCTGTTATTTATTACAATAAATAGAGCTACTTTCTATTAATGACAAAACCTGGCGTGAATAACTTTTGACCTGAAATAGTAATCAGGCAAATTGGTCATCTTGGTAGCCTAAATGGGATTTTATGCATTCTTTGGATGGCTTGTGTAAGTGTGGCACTATTACTGACATTTCCAGGTTAAGTCATGACAAAGGTGGGGGGTGGGGGAAAGAGACGCTGTGTTTTGTGGTGGCATCACAATACAGGTGGTGAAAATAGCAGAGAATGATCCATTGAACATGGAAGATGGTGGGATGGACAGTGCAGACAAGTTGAATCCTATTATTGGTCTGGGAAGGAGGGCAAGTGCTGACGGAAGAAGTGCACAAAATAGCCCAGACATGGTAGACTGCCATGACAACCATGGTGCAGGAAGGGGAGTCCAGAGTCACTTTAGATGGTTGGGGAGGAATACATAATCAGAAACACTTGTATGGATAATTTGATAAAATAAATAAAGCCACCCCTAATGTAGCTTACCTGGTATATTCATCTCATCAGCAGTAATTACTTGCTGAATTAGAAAACAAAATATAGTCAAAACACTCCAATCAAAGGGAAAGACATGTGATTGGAAGAGCAATGAGCAGTGGAAGAAAAAGGAAGTGGCAGCAATAAGGACTAGTCCCTATGACTGTGGCCATTTGACCAGAGTTAGGAGGGGTGGGAGGAGGAGCCTGCAAGGATTGGGGAGTGTGTGAAGAGGATGGGCAGGAGGGGGAAAGAGGGACACACTAATTTTAAATCTGTCATCAAAAGTATACACTGCTAACCAGCAGCCAGGAAAATGAGATTACCAATTCCTTGCAAATGCATGAAATCTGAAAACAAGGAATCTTGATAAACAAAGTCAAGAGCTATTCTTGGAGGAAATGAAAAGAATGCTATCAAAATCAACACCGTCAAGTTTTCAACGTAGATCCATAAAGCAATTTTTAAAAAATGGATTGATTTACCTCAGTTGGCTGGACAGTTGGTTTGTGATGCAGAGCGATGCAATAGCATGGGTTTAATTCCCACACCAGCTGAGGTTACCATAAAGGATTTTCCCCTCACCCTCAGGTCAAACCACCACCAGTCATCCACTGCTCTCTAATTAGCATGCACCCCTATGGTCTGGTAAGACCCTGGTGACTTAATTGTTATCTTATTAAAAGGCAAATATATTTCAGCTTTGTATGTTTGTGATGAAAACACATTAGCTGTGATCTTGCCAGCTTAGTGAAGAACATGGAGATGGCTGTGTGTTTAGAAGTGTCAGTTATTCTGAAAACAAAAGATGTTGTTAATTTATGCAAGTCTTGTGCCAATGTAAATACTGTGGTGTCTAGGAAATTAATGTTTTCCTTGAGTTGTAGCTGCAAGTTTAAATGAAGGTTTATAAGAGGATATTGATAACTTCTTCTAATTCTGCTTCTGACAGTTCGAATACTCTATTGTGAAAAACCTTCTGCACCCATGTTGACAATGTGACTAAACTATCTAATAAATCAGTTAACAAAAATCACAAAGAAGCACCTGAAAACAAAACTGGCCCACTTAATAAATGCGGAATCATTGTTTACAGCATTATTTAAATTCTAGACATTTGTTTATATTGCAAGTAGAAGATTAAAGTAAGGGTCTGTATAGACAAACCAAATGGTATTGAGGAAAACTTTAATTTTAATTTTATTAGTCATAATTAAAAAAATATTAAATATGGCAAGAACTGACTGCACAAATAACACAATTTACAAATACATCTTTAAGAGAATTACTGATTTAAAATGTGCAATAGTAATCAATAGTTCTTCCATGTAGCTCATTAAATCACACTTTCAAAACAATAAACTGGATAGTTTTTCTTAACGAAAGATGGGAGCCTGAACAGTACTTTGGACAGCAAAGCAGACAGTTAACATCCCAGCTGCTCTGGAGAAACAGTTAATGTCTACTCAGGATGCCCAAGTTAAACTCCTCATGAAGAAATTTGTTCTCAACATCAATTTCAGATGATACTCTACAGAACTATCTGCATCTTACAGAAACTGACATAAGCCTGCATAGCACCTCTTGAAGTGGTATTAAGCAAATTTCCCACTTTTAATTGCACCATTGCAAAAGCAATTTGATACTGAAAAACAACTCAATTAATGTGTTCTTCCTCAAGCACAACAAAGGTGAAATAAAAAAAATTCTCTGTCCCTTGAGGCAAAAAGGATACTGTTGCTCAAAGCAAAGCATTAACCTTTCTAAATATTTTTAAATGGTGCTTATAATGCACACAAATGCTATAATAAAATCTCAATCACATTCATTGTTGAGTACCGAAATAGGACTATATCTAGCCTATTACTTGGGTTTAACAATTGTAGTTCTCATGTGTTGATTTAATTTCAACTACATTTAATTACTTGTATATGTTTGTAGCAATACTATTACTAGGTGGCAGCTAGTTCACAGGTAGGCTCAGCTATGCAGATCACCCATATGCAAGGCTACTCTGAAGCATGTTTATCTCCAAACAGGGAAGCTACAAGCAAAACATCCAAGTTTTTCTTGGTAACACCACAGTCAATGATTGAATTGTGTATAGAACAGTTCTACTCCTACACAGTGAATTGAACAGACACCTTTACACACCAGCTGCCAAAAGGAGTTGACAACTGATGTGTTTTACAGAAAAAGTTGAAACTGACAGATGCACTTGATAAATGGTACTGTGTTGTCTAAGCTAATACCAATAATGAACAGTCATTGCTCATCTCTTCCATGCTGGCTGCTTGGCAGGTGCTTGGTGGGGTGAAGACAGATGGGTCACTGATCCCTAGCTGCAGATCAAAAAAGCGAGTGGATGTTGTTACATTGTAGCTCTTGGTGTATGTCTCTTGCACTGGATAGCAATCCTTAACTGTGTATACCCCAATCCATTTTTCAACTGTGGGAAGGAAAAAAAAAAATCAGCAGAGAAATAAACATTTAAGTATGTTCTCATGATCTGCAAAGTCTACTGAATTTGCCCACTAAAATTAAAGTGGATTCTAACATAACATTAATTCATGCTAGAATGCCATTTGCCATGCTTTTAAAAAATACCTAAAAATCTGATGGCAAAGTACTGAGCCTGCTCTGCTAGCAGGAGTATATCAACAAAGATGAGGTGCTGAAAGAAGGTGCCAAAAGGAGTTGGGAGTGGGGTGAGGGGTTGTAAAGAGACCAAGTTTAGCTATTGGTGATAAGGGTCACAGTTTGAAACTGGTTGGTTGGGGCTGATGGCATCCACATTGCATATAAACTTGAGTAGTAGGCATGGTATCACCAATTGCATCATTAGCAGGACAAAGACAAGTCAGAGGAGTCAGATCAACACACAGCAAGTGTGTTCCTGCAAGGCTGGTGAGAAATGCTCCTGCAAGAAGCCAGTGACAACTACTTCAATAGATTCTACAGGGGAATGTTGAAAAGTAGAGGGAAGCCAGGCTTATCCAGAATAACTTAAACATGGATTAGCAGCACATAGTTGATAGAAGATGAGTACTGAAGAATTGAGAAGAGCAAGTTGGGGGTACAAACTAACATGGAAGGAAGGAAGGAAAAATATGCAGCACAGAGTGGCAAGGAAGAATGGCTTAGATATCACTAGGATTGTCAATAGAAAGTAGCATACTGAAGTATTAGGCCACAATAACAACACAAACACTGAAGCAAGGCTTGAGCACAGAAATCTGACTCAAGACAAATCTTAGCAATGGTAACACACTGAGGATGACAGATGGAAATTTTTCAGATACATACAAAGTCAAAACCTTAAACTGCTCAAAATCAGTTGGTTCCATGATCACTTGGTTTTGTGCACTCTAAACAGCACACAAATTAGAAAAGTCAGCATAATCCTTAATTAATTTACATGGGTACCAGATGATGTTGATAATTCAGTGTAAACGTGACACTTTTGAATCAAACATTGGTTTTGATTTAATGAACAAGATTCTATTAGATACTTACAATTTTATAATTAACTTGAGATGGAAGGATAGTTATAAGACTAGTGCTGAATATATGCTGAGTACAAATGGGGGAAGAGAGTTCTGCTGCCAACCCACACATTGATTACTGCACCAGAAGACTATTGATTTTAGATGGTGGCACGGTGGCTCAGTAGCTCAGTAGTTAGCACTGCTACCTCACAGTACCAGAGACCTGGGTTCGATTCCACTCCCAGGCAATTGTTTGTAAGGGGTGTGCACGTTCTCTCTGTGTCTGCACGGGGCCACCACGCCAAAGACGTGGAGGTTAGATGGATTGGCCATGCTATATTACCCAGTGTTCAGAGATGTGTGGGTTAGGTGTGTTTGCCATTGGAAATGCTGGGTTATAGGGATAGGGTAGGGGGATGGGTCTGAGTGGGATGCTCTTCAGAGGGTCAGTGTATACTTGTTGGGCCGAATGGCCTGTTTAAACACTGCAGGGATTCTATGATTCAAATGCGAGTGACTATGTTTCATGCACTCTGGTGAGGCTGGGCAAACCTGGATTATACTTTAAATGAAAATCTTCTTTGGAAGCAGAATTCTGCATTGAACATTTGTGATGTTTAGGATGTATCAAATTAATTTGATCTACAAATTAGAAGATGAGAAAAGAATTTATCTCCACATTTTTCTGTGGTTTTAACAGGATACCTCCACTTCATGCCAATTCCTAAATGAGCTCTCCTAATCCCACATTGTTTCAAGGTATTTTAAGTAATTTGCTAGTTAGTACCATCAAAATATTCATTTAATTACCTGCAATTGAGATGATAAATAGCAAATTAATGTAGTCAGAAACAAGTGATATTCCAGCAACTACTTGAAAATATAGCTAAAGAACATTTGAAAAACACCTTAAGCACTATATCAGGAGACTTCCTGCCAGTTGAACCAGGGTTTGGTTTGGCAACCAGTCAATTCATAGGAGGTACCTGGAGTTAGTCATAAATGTGTCATGACATGCTGCACTGATCACACGTTTTTTCTACAGCTTAATAATAGAACTATTTCTCATTTCATCATTTACTCCAAATATAGGTATTTCTCTTTGGGGAGTTCCCATTTCCAACATTGGTTCTACAGCTGGCTTATTTTACTCCCAATGTCTTAATGCATGACATGGTTAAGGTTTTAAATGACAAAACAAGAAAAATAATGTAATATTTTCAAGAAAAAGATATCAAAATATTTGTATCGCTTTGAGAATTTACAGAGGCTGAAGCTTTCCCATCCAATTACAATTTTTAAAAGCTAAATGAGCTTTGACATGTCTCGGCTCTTGCCAACAACTAAAAAACAAGACATTTTATTACATTTTGAATCAAATTATGTTCTGATGCACTTTTTCAGGTCAGCTTATAGTTGGAGGGAGATAGACAGGATACCGAGAAATAGAAAATCTACATTCAAACATAATAAAATGGAGACCAAGTTATTTTTTAAATTTTGGTGCTTCAGTCAACGTACACATGCACACTACGAAGCAGTTACATTTTATCTATAAACGTCTACCATTTAAAGTAATTGATGGAAGTACTGAAATGCTACAACACCATTAGGCGGCTAGTTAGCCTGCCAGTCCAAGCTGGCTCTGAAAACGCTATTTGAACTATTTGACTTTCTAATACCAAAGATTATGTTGCAGTACATCATGTAAATATCAGTATCACTGGATATGTGAAGACGCATTGATTGCAGCAAAGCATCTACATTTACTGATTTTTCTATTTTAGTCAAAACACTTTCATTTGTATTATTTTAAAGTTCTTTTACTTCACCGACAGTTATCTCTTTTGAATTTTCATCCATCTTCAAGGAAGCCTAGTTTCTCAGCTCATGAATGTTAACGTAATAAATGGAACAGGAGTAAGCAATATAGCCTCTCAAGTCAGCTCAGCCATTCAATAAGTTCACAGCTGATCTTATATTGGACTCAACTACACTTTCTAGCTTATTTTGCAGAACTCTCGACTTCCCTATTGTTCAATAATCTCACCGACAAATATATCCAATGACAGCCACCATAATTCTCCAGAATAGAGAATTTGAAAGATGCATAATCTTTTGAGGTATACTCAGACATTACATTGCCCCAGTACATTTTGTGATGTACCACTTCACCCCAGTAATCAACCTTATGACAGTGATAAAGTTTTAAATTATATAATGCAAAATAATGCATGTTCAAGGCTTGAAAACCTATGGTCTGATTATACAATGAGGCTGTCTCAAATAATATTTAACCTTTACTGAACATGTAAGAGATTATCTTCAAAATAGCTTTAATAGGCCACCTATTCGCTAACTTCTACATGTTACAATGCAACAAGTTACTACTATAGATAACTGGACATCTAGTTAACTATGTTAAACACAATCATTTTGCATTAAAAAGTAATAATTTTAGGATTCTAATTCAGTCACAAAACTAAAACAGACACGGATGCCAATCACTCTGAATTGCAGTTATTGGTTTTAAAAATCTACTGTATTTACACCAGGTAGTATACACTGAACTCCAAAGTGACTGCTACAATTTCTCTAGGAGCTTGAGCATATGTGATGTAAAAATGGCTCATGTAAAACCATCACCACAGTCAAATTTCTACAATTTGGAAGACGAAGTAGCATACTTTTGCCACTATCAATTGTCTTAGTGGAAAGAAACAGACTAAGTTTACATCTACATGATCAGGTTTTGCTCTCTGAATAAAATTTGCTCTATAACCATCTATGAATTTTCTTTTACACTAATATATGTACCGTTTGTTGAAACATACTTTTGAAGAGCGTTCTCAATGAGACATGAATATTTTCAGAGAATTTTCACAACTTTCTAACATTAAGACTGATAATAGCATCCCCGTGAGGGGTTGTGACTGACAATGGTAATGTGTTAAGCCAATACAATCAGATCTGACTACTAGCTGCAATGCATTTCCTCAAACAAGAAATCAAGAATGCAACAATTTAAACTGTCATTCATGGATGTGTGCATCATTAGTAAGTTAGCATTTGTGCCCATCTTTTATCTTTCAGAAAAAGATCGTGAGCTGCATTTTTGAACACAATCAAGTGTCTTACTGTGATATTTCAGAGGGCAGTAAGAGTAACAATGTTGTTGCAGGCATGGTGGCTCAGTGGTTAGCACTGCAGCCTCACAGCGCCAGGGACCCGGGTTCGATTCCAGCCTCGGGTGACTGTCTGTGCAAACTCCGCACATTGTCTGCGTGGGTTTGCTCCGGTTTCCTCCCACAGTCCAAAGATGTGCAGGCTAGGTGGATTGGCCATGCTAAATTGCCCATAGTGTTTAGGGGGATGGGTCTGGGTGGGATGCTCCAAGGGTCGGTGTGGACTTGTTGGGCCAAAGGGCCCGTTTCCACACTGTAGGGATTCTATGGTAGAGTCACATGTCAGAGCAGGTTTCCTTCTTTAAAAAAAGGACAGTGAATGAGATGAGATTTTACAACAATCCGGTCACATGGATTACTGATACTTGGTTTTTAGTACATAATTATTTAACTAACTGAACAAACTCCTCAGCTGCTATAGTGAGACCTGGACTCATGACTCTGGGTCATTATTCCACACCGCTATTACTTGTAACATTTCCACTATACTAACATAACTTTTGTGCCTTTCACACTGCAGTGTCTCAAAGAGACTGAATCATGACACTTTACTGAACTGTAGAAAAGGAATGCTACTTACATTTACGAGCAGGTTTTCTGTCTGACCATTCTTGGATCTTAATCTGGTCTCCTGGCCCACCAATACTGTATTCATCTTCATAAGTGGAGTTCTCAGGGATATCGTATGGATCCCATGGCTGAGTGAGAGGTAGCTTGGAGCACTGCTTTGTCACTTGCTCAATCTTGAAAAGGACTGGATTTTTAAATAGGTAAATGTATTCATAAAATCTAGAAGGAATGAAATAAAAATTGTGGAAAATAATATCATTAGATCTTTGTAACAAAGAAAGATTTCATTTATGCAGTGCCAATTCTACCAATACAGAGTTTCCCTTTTGTTCTCCCACCTGCACCCCCCAGCTTAAAACTTCTGCACTTTTAATCTTTAGTTCTGATGAAATGTTGATTGACTCTGCTTCTCTCCAATATACTGCCTGATTAAAGGGATTTTCCAGCATATTTGTTACAATTTCAAATTTGATTTTGCTTTTGTACTTGTGCCCTGCTTCTCCATCCTTAAAATCCTCCTGGACAAAGATCGACTCTCCTCTTAGATCAGAGTCAATACATTTTACAGAGGCAACAAGGTGCAGAGCTGGATGAACACAGCAGGCCAAGCAGCATCATAGGTGCAGCTATGATGCTGCTTGGCCTGCTGTGTTCATCCAGGTCTGCACCTTGTTGTCTCGGATTCTCCAGCATCTGCAGTTCCTACTATCTCTGATTCACATTTTACAGAGGGGTAATTGTAGAATCATAGAAGAATCAGTGCGGCAAGAGGCCAATTGGTCCATCGAGTCTACACTAATCCTCTAAAGAGCATTCCACCTTGACTCAGCTCCCCTCCCTATCCCCTTAGTCTCTTTGCCATGGCCAAACTACCTAACCTGCACATCTTTGGACTGTGGGAGGAAACCACGCAGACACAGGTAGAATGTGTAAACTCCACACAGCCCAACTGCATTTGATAATAATACACAGGGCCCACAAAATGGAGTAATATTGGCATGGATAGAAGAATGTTTACCGAACAGAAGGGTCCCAGCCTGAAACGTCAACTTTCCTGTTCCTCTGATGCTACCTGGCCTGCTGTGTTCTTCCAGCTCCACACTGTTATCTCAGACTCCAGCATTGGCAGTTCTTACTAAATATAAAGTAGTATTGGATTGTAGAATGGCTGAAGTACATTGAAGCCATTCAATCCATCATTCTGTGCCATTTCTCTAAAGGAACAACACACCTAAATCAAACCCCAGGGCTTAGCACAATACTTCAATTGAGACAGGAACCATTACTGTACACTGATTTAATATAACGTAAAGAATGTGGGATCCTGGGCTTGACAAGTATTTTTGCAACCTGCCTTGCCATCTTCATTAATTCTGTACATATAGATCCAAGTCCAGTGCTTTAGTTTGGCTGGCAGTAGCTAATGGAATGTTGCAAGTTTCAATGTTGGGGCTTCACCTATTTCAAATGAGCTGACGTTACAGTCTATACAAAATAGGAGCAGAAGCTGGTCATTTGGCCCATTAAGGCTGCTCCGGCATTCAATAAAATCATGGCTGCTGTTTGTTTTGAATTCCATATTCTGATTTATCCCCAATAACCTTTAAGTCATTGCCCTACAAGATCTAGTTTTGTCAAAAAATATTCAATGGTCCCACTTTCCTTGTCTCTCAAAGCCTCAACCTTGCGAAACAAGATTTCCATTCTCTGACATAAAAGGATGACCTGTAGTCTGGACTCACCAAGTGGAAATATCTTTTCCTTGGAAACAACTTGTCAAGATCTTTCAGAATCTTGTATAGTTCAATCAACTCACCCCTCATGCTTCTGAACTCAACCCTGCCCAAACCATTGTCAGAAGACAACTCCCTCTTTCCAGGAAATCTCCTCTGAACATCCCTTAAATAAGGAGACCAAAACTGCACACAATGAGATCTGATCTCACCAATGGCCTGTACAGCTGAAGATTAACATCCTTATTTTTGTGTTCAATTTCTCAGGACAGCACCCAATTAGCTTTCTTGATTACATGCTGTATCTGCATACTATTTGTGACTCACACTAGAACACACAGATCCCCCTACATTTTCAAATTCCATAGTCATTCACCATGCAAGTAATATTCTGTTTTTTCCCTTCCTGCCAAAGTGAAGAACTTCACATTTTCCCACATTATACTCCATCTCCCAGATTTTTGCCCACTCAACCTAGTAAAGGAGTGTTTTGGGATTAATGGAATTATACAGTCACTATTCAAAACACTTTGGTTTATTTTAGTTTGATTTATTTTACAAAAAAAAACTTTTGTTAAAATAAAATCTGCAACACTGCATGATGATCTCAGCAAGCTTCTTTGTTAAAGCCAAAATAAAACATGAACTGTCAAGCCAGATTTCAAACTTGACTGGCATCATAACAGAAGGCAAATATCATTTTTAAAAAAATCACAAGGGGATTAGAGACTTTGTCTCAGATACATGTGCACAGTTTTAGTATATCTATTTTTAAGGAGACTAAGGCAGAACAACAAAGATTCTGACATCTTACAATGAGAGGCTGAGGAAATTGGACCTATGCACTCACACTGGAACAATGAGAAACAAACAAACAAAAACAAACAAACAAACAAACAAACAATCTCCCTGAAACATAAAAAATTTTGAAGAGACTTGACAGGCTCGACACAAAGGCTGTTCTCCCATTTTGTGTGTTTCCTCACTCAACATATGTCCAATCATAGGGACCTGAGAGTTTGACCTATAGGGTGAACTTGAACAGCCTGGGGCTATTTTCCATGGAGCTGAGGGTGAGGGGTGACCTATAGAGGTTTATAATATCATGAGGGGCATGGATAGGGTGAATAGCCAAGGTCCTTTCCCCCACGGTAGGGGAGTCCAAAACTCAAGAGCATAGGTTTAAGGCGAGGGGGCAAGATTTAAAAGGACCTGAGGGGGCAACTTCTTCCACACAGAGGATGGGTGTCTGTATGGAATGCACTGCCGGAGGAAGTGGAAGAGGCTGGTACAATTACAACTTTTAAAAGGCATCTGGATGGGTATATGAATAGGAAGGGTTTAGAGGGATATGGGCCAAATGGGACTAGATTAATTTAGCATATCTGGTCAGCATGGATAAGTTGGGCTGATGGGTCTGTTTCCACGCTATACAAATCTTCAGCCACCTTAGTCTATTGCTCTGATTTCTCCATAAAACCCTGTTCCTCTCTTATTTTAGGCCCTGTTTAAAAACCTCTTTAGTTAAGAACTTCTTTGAGTCAGTTTCTATTTGTCTGATTATGCTGTAAGGTGCTTTGCAGGAAAATTGTCTCAAAGCAGCTAGATAAATGCAAACTGTTGTTTGATATGAAGCTGCTAGGACATTATTCATACCAAATATTTTTAGCCATTAGAGACAAAATTCTCCAAAAACATGTTGGTTCTTTCATACAAACATCCACTATATTTGCCTATTTCATGGAAGTCTATTTGTTAAATAAGCTTTCAACTATGTTTGTGACTGACATGGGCAATGCTTTTTTATCTTCTCTTTCAAGGACAAGTTGCAAAACAGTACCAAGAAGGGCACAACTTAAAATATTGCTACAAAAATATAACATTGTCCCTGTTGAGAATTTTCCATTGCAAAGGAAAAAAAGGTCACTGCATTTTTAGATTACCCCATGCTGCTAGAAGTACGACAAAAATAAAGTATAGCATTTGTTGTTGATATGAATCAGTCAAAAGTTTTTAAACCAACAGGTAAGAAACAAAAAGGATATTTTTAATCACAACCCTTTTGTGAATGGCCTCTCCCATTCAAATTATAACCTTTGGTGTCTACAATATATAAACAAATCTTGGTCATGCAATTTTGTGATGGCGATAGGCAATTTAATTATTTGCAATCAATATTAATCCAGTTAGAAGCTTCCAAAAAAGTACTATATACCTTGAACCAAGTCAGCCCATCCAAAAGATATAAAAATGCAGGGAATTATTTAAATATATCCCTGACGTCGCAAATGCCATCTCAAGTGGCACAGTAATTCATTACATAGAAACAGAAGTGATTATGTATAAGCATCTTTGAAGAACATGCGGTCATTTTGGCAATGTTGTTAAATAATGCTCAAGCCAACAATAATGTATCTAGTTGCTGCGCGATAATCTACTCATTTCAGTAAAGAGCAACATGACAAATGCTGTTTCAAGAGATTCTGTAAGGGTAAGTGAAGTCACATAATGCAAAGAGTAGATTTTTGAAAGCTTGAAAATTGTGTCTCAGCCTTTTTGGACTGGGTTGCTGTCATCAAATATCAAACAGTAACAGCTTAGAGTTGCTTTGGTGCAGAACAAAGGTGAAGGCTATAAACCGAGCCAAAAAAATGCTTATACTTTCATATTTAGCTGTATATGAGAGCAAGGCCAGATATCCAAATAAATTTAATTTTGATAAAAGTGAACAGAAGGAAATTGTGAATTAAAAACCAAGTTAGAAATAGGAAGCAAGACAGAAAGGAAAGACAGATTGGATGGAGACCAACGTTCCCACTAAATTGTGCAGAGTGAGGCTGCAAAGCAGCCTGGCGAGTACAGAGGAGATCTTTAACCTGATAAATAACATGTATGCACAGTTAGAAAAATTTAAGAGGAACCATGTACTGAAAGAAAACGGTCACACAACACCTAGATCTCGAAGGAATATCGACTAAATGCCAAAGTGAAAAAGAAAAAAAGTGCAAAATTAAAAACCTCTAAGGGCACTTTGCTACGTGGAGAGTTGAGACACTGGTTTTATTATTTCCTCTCTACACCTCCAAGGTTGAATTGCATGCAAGGATCACGGATCATAATTTATGGAGTACTTACAAGGAGATATCAGCCTTAAATGTCTGTGACAAAATTCATTTGTATTTATAATGCAAACCCAGCAATTTTGTTTTAACCATGAGGATGGACTGCAAGCTCCTAATGTGCTGTCACAGAATGCATTTCACTCAATTTGTGGTGTATTTCTTCATTGCCAATTACTGCTTCTCTTCATGCATTCATATAAAAGGTATACTGTGAAACTGCCATCACTTGAGATTATTCCAGACAAGTAAAGTGCAATTTTATCCAAGTCTTATTGCATTAAGAGTTGCAAATTTACCTAATAGGTTTAGATTGAATTCCAATGAATAGCTTAAGCTATTTGATTGCTGAAAAGACAAATAAATA